GAGTGGTTCCAGCGGCCGGCGCAAAGCCAAAAAGAAATGGCGGAAGGACAGCCCGTGGGTGAAGCCATCACGGAAACGGCGGAAGCGGGAGCCTCCGAGGGCCAAGGAGCCACGAGGTGAGAAGGCTCCTCTGTTTCGGGGTCCCCTCCTCCAGCCCCCTCCCAGTCCCCAGAGAGCATGCATGCACACACACGCTCAGCATGCACACCCGCATGTACACCCGCATCCAGGCACCTGTGAGCTCGCACTCTCACTCTCTCTGTCTCTGTGTCAGGAGTGAATGGTGTGGGCTCCTCAGGCCCCAGTGAGTACATGGAGGTCCCGCTGGGGTCCCTGGAGCTGCCCAGCGAGGGGACCCTCTCTCCCAACCACGCTGGTAATTGCCAATTGCCGGGATAGGGAGCCACTAGGGGGCGCCCTCGGGGCCGGAGGGAATGGGGAGGAGGGGAACCCCGCTGGAGCTGGGGTGTCCGTGGCCAGACTTTGGGGGTTCTGGAGCACGGAGGGAAAGTCAGGGTGGGGGTGAGAGGCCCCAGGAGGGGTCCCGGTGGGTGAGAGGCTGGGCCTCCCTCAGCTCCCTCTTTCCTCCATCAAAGGGGTGTCCAATGACACATCTTCGCTGGAGACAGAGCGTGGGTTTGAGGAGTTGCCCCTCTGCAGCTGCCGCATGGAGGCACCCAAGATAGACCGCATCAGTGAGAGAGCGGGGCACAAGTGCATGGCCACGGAGAGCGTGGATGGAGAGGTGGGCCTCTGGGCTGGTAGGTGAGTTGCCAGGGCATCCAGCCCCAGAGCCCAGCCTCACCTCTTGTCACCCATCCTCACTGCGCACAGCTGTCCGGCTGCAACGCTGCAATCCTCAAGCGGGAGACCATGAGACCTTCCAGCCGCGTGGCACTGATGGTGCTCTGTGAGACCCACCGCGCCCGCATGGTCAAACACCACTGCTGCCCAGGCTGTGGCTACTTTTGCACGGCGGTGAGTGACCAGTGGGGCAGACAGGCAGTATGCCCCATGGGGGTAGGGGCTCCCAGAGCCTGGCCACATTGTTTTCCTGCCCCCAGGGCACCTTCCTGGAGTGTCACCCCGACTTCCGAGTGGCCCACCGCTTCCACAAGGCCTGTGTGTCCCAGCTGAACGGGATGGTCTTCTGTCCCCACTGTGGGGAGGATGCTTCTGAGGCCCAGGAGGTGACCATCCCCCGGGGGGATGGGGTGACCCCACCGGCTGGCACTGCAGCCCCTGCCCCCCCGCCCCTGGCCCAGGATGCCCCTGGGAGAGCGGACACTTCCCAGCCCAGGTACTGGCTTTGCCCTTCCCTTCTGTCTGCTCCCTGCCCTAGTCCCCGTCTCCCCTGAACGTTCACACCTTCACCCACAGCGCCCGGATGCGAGGACAGGGGGAGCCCCGGCGTCCACCCTGCGACCCCCTGGCTGACACCATTGACAGCTCGGGGCCCTCCCTAACCCTGCCCAATGGGGGCTGCCTCTCAGCTGTGGGGCTGCCACCTGGCCCAGGCCGGGAGGCCCTGGAAAAGGCCCTGGTCATCCAGGAGTCAGAGAGGTGAGTAGGGGTTGCCCTCGGGCACAGCAGCTAGGACTGGGGCTGGAAGTGTGGAGCTGCAGGTGTGGGGACTGATGCTTGAATCTGGGGAGTCAGCCCCCTCTCCCTCCCTCACCATGGCAGGCGGAAGAAACTCCGTTTCCACCCACGGCAGCTGTACCTGTCCGTGAAGCAGGGGGAGCTGCAGAAGGTGATCCTGATGCTGTGTGAGTATTCCACTCCTTCATTCAGCAAACCCTGCCTGAGCACCGATTATGTACCAGTCACTGGACTCGGGGCCAGGAGGGCAGCAATGTGGGACATCGTCCTTGCCCTGAAGGACTTCGTGTGGTGGGGGAATAACCCGTGATGATGGGAACTGGGGACTGTTCTGAGTGCTTTGCACGTTCACTCACTTAACTCTTCCCGGCGGAGGCCCAGAGAGGTTAACTACCTTGCCCAGTGCACAGCAGTACTAAGGGGCAGGGGCAGGGCCGTTTGACCTCAGGCAGAGCTGGTGCTCTTAACTTCTTACTCTGATCAGTGCCGTGCTGCAGTGCAGGTGAGCACAAAGAAGGCCCAGGAGGGGCCCCTGACTCAGGTTGGGGCCCTGAGAAACCTTCCTGGAGGAGGTGCCACCCGCCCCCTAGCTTGCTTACCACCTGTCCCTCCCTCTCCCGGTGTGGCGGGCCCTCCCCGCAGTGGACAACCTGGACCCCAACTTCCAGAGCGACCAGCAGAGCAAGCGCACGCCCCTGCACGCGGCTGCCCAGAAGGGCTCTGTGGAGATCTGCCACGTACTGCTGCAGGTCAGCACGGGCCCAGCCCTAGGATCCCCTCCCCTGCCCAGCCCCTCCCTGGTGCCAGCCCACGTGCCCCCTTCTTGCAGGCTGGGGCGAACATCAATGCTGTGGACAAGCAGCAGCGGACGCCGCTGATGGAGGCCGTGGTGAACAACCACCTGGAGGTGGCTCGCTACATGGTGCAGCGCGGGGGCTGCGTCTACAGCAAGGTGCGCAACCGGGCAGGCCAGGGCCGGGGCTCAGGGCCCGGGCTTGAGGTGCCAGCCAGCCGACTCATCTGCCTGCATCGCCCTCAGGAGGAAGACGGCTCCACCTGCCTCCACCACGCAGCCAAAATTGGGAATCTGGAGATGGTCAGCCTGCTGCTCGGCACGGGACAGGTGGACGTCAACGCCCAGGTCAGCTGCCGGGCTTCCGGCCCAGCCCTCTGGGGTCCTTGCCTCAGCCTCAGGCTTTAGGTCCCCTTTCTCCCTCATCTGACCTCTGACCCTTTCCCTGCATTTCACACTGTTCCAGTCTGTCCCCGTCTCTTTTTCCCCCTTCATTTGTATTTCTCTTCATTCTCTTCTGTTTTCTTTTTTCTCCTTATCAGTTTTCAAAATGAGTTGCGGCCTTAATCTCTGGAACTGTCCAGTGAGATTCCTTACTAACTCAGTTTTTCACCTGTTGGAGGTGTTTTAGTCTGTGTCATTCTTCTTGATCTTTGGGGGTTTTATTTAATTAATTTTTATTGGAGTATAGTTGCTTTACAATGTTGTGTTAGTTTCTACCGTACAGCAAAGTGAATCAGCTATACATAAACATGTATCCCGTCTTTTTTGGATTTCCTTCCCATTTAGGTCACCACAGTGTGTTAGGTTTCCTGTGCTATGCAATATGTCCTCATTAGTTATCTATTTTATACATAGTATCAATAGTCTATATGTGTCAATCCCAATCTCCCAGTTCCTCCGACCCTCCCCTTGGTATCCACACGTTTGTTCTCTATGTCTGTGTCTCTATTTCTGCTTTGCAAATAAGATCATCTATACCATTTTTCTGGATTCCACATATATGCGTTAATATATGATATTTGTTTTTCTCTTTCTGATTTCCCCCACTGTGTATGACACTCTCTAGGTCCATCTGTGTCTCTCCAAATGACCCAGTTTTGTTCCTTTTTATGGCTGAGTAATATTCCGTTGTATATATGTGCCACATCTTCTTTATCTATTTCTCTGTTGATGGACACTTAGGTTGCTTCCTTGTCCTGGCTGTTGTAAATAGTGCTGCAGTGAACATTGGGGTGCCCTTCTTGATCTTTGAATTGTTCTGTCCTTTATCCAGAAGAAGGCCCTTGCCATAGGCTCCTGTGGCTTTTGAAGTGACCCAGTGGCCTTTGAGAGCATCCTTTCAGCACCTATCCTGCCCCCGACTCAGGATCTACCATTTCTCTGAGAAACTCTGGTTCCTTTAAATGGGAAATATTTTTTAGAGACTACAGTTTGTGTACCTAGGGGTGGTCATTGTTGTTGGGTCCCTGCTTCTAGGACTTTTGAGTGGGCAGATCGAGGAAATAATGTATTTTTTTTCTTTTAATTTTTTATTTTTTTAAAATTCATTTATTTATGTATGTTTTTTTTTTTAATTAATTTATTTATTTTTGGCTGCATTGGGTCTTCGTTGCTGCCCATGGGCTTTCTTAGTTGCAGAGAGCGGGGCTACTCTTCGTTGCGGTGTGCAGGTTTCTCACTGCAGTGGCCTCTCTTGTTGCAGAGCATGGGCTCTAGGTGCACGGGATTCAGTAGTTGTGGCTCGCAGGCTCCAGAGTGCAGGCCCAGCAGTTGTGGCGCACAGGCCTAGCTGCTCCGCGGCATGTGGGATCCTCCCGGACCAGGGCTCGAACCCGTGTCTCCTGCACCGGCAGGCGGACTCCCAACCACTGTGCCACCAGGGAAGCCCTATTTATGTATTTCTTTATTGGCTGTGTTGGGTCTTCTTTGCTGCACGTAGGCTTTCCCTAGTTGCGGCAAGCGGGGGCTACTCTTTGTTGCAGTGTGCAGGCTTCTCATTACGGTGGCTTCTCTTTGTTGCGGTGCACAGGCTCTAGGCGCGTGGGCTGCAGTAGTTGTGGCTCGTGGCCTCAGTAGTTGTGGCTTGCGGGCTCTAGAGCGCAGGCTCAGTAGTTGTGGTGCACGGGCTTAGTTGCTCCGTGGCATGTAGGATCTTCCCGGACCAGGGCTCGAACCTGTGTCCCCTGCATCGGCAGGCGGATTCTTAACCACTGCGCCACCAGGGAAGTCCAAGGAAATACATACTTTTTAAAAAAAGAAAAATCACTTCGCGGCCTTGAGCAATAGACACTTACTAGTCCCATTTTGTAAACGAGGAAACTGAGACCCAGAGCCGTTAAATGATTTGCCCAGGGTTCCACAGCCTGTGAGTGGTGGAGCTGGGACCCTGAGCATGAGTCTAGCTCCGGAGTCTGTGCTCTTGACCCCATCTGTTTGGGTGAGCAGGACTGGAGCTGCCTCTCCACCCTCCTCCTCCCCCCCACCCCGACCCACAGGACAGTGGGGGGTGGACGCCCATCATCTGGGCCGCAGAGCACAAGCACATCGAGGTGATCCGCATGCTGCTGACACGGGGCGCCGACGTCACCCTCACAGACAATGTGAGAGTTTGGTCGGGATGCAGGAGGTGGGTTCAGCCCCCCCGCCCCTGAGCAAGGTGCCGGCTGGGTTCACACCTCTCCCCCTGCCACCTCCACAGGAGGAGAACATCTGCCTGCACTGGGCGTCGTTCACCGGCAGCGCCGCCATCGCAGAGGTTCTCCTGAATGCCCGCTGCGACCTCCACGCTGTCAACTACCATGGGGACACGCCCCTACACATCGCAGCCCGGGAGAGCTACCATGACTGCGTGTTGTGAGTCCCTACCCCTCCCCCACCTGGACACTCCTCTGCCCCCTCTCACAACCCCGGACCCCACAGGCTTCCCGTCCCCTCCCAGGTTGTTCCTGTCACGCGGGGCAAACCCTGAGCTGCGGAACAAGGAGGGGGACACGGCGTGGGACCTGACCCCTGAGCGCTCTGACGTGTGGTTTGCACTCCAGCTCAACCGCAAGCTGCGCCTCGGGGTGGGAAATCGGGCCATCCGCACTGAGAAGATCATCTGCCGGTGAGCCTGGGCTCTCTCTTTACCCAGAGCGACCTCCGCCCCCTCCCCTGGCCCCTAGAATCCTCTGAGCCCCCCAAACCACCTCTGCCCCCCATCCGCCTGCCACACACACACGTCAACTAGATGCACCAAGTAAAAATAGGCAACATCCAGCTGAATTAGAATTTCGGGTGAACAGCGCACATAACTTTTTTAACGTTAGGAGGGTCCCACGCGGTATTTGGGACATACCTGTACTAAAGACTTTTTCCTTGATACCCTGAAATTCAGATTTCACTGAGTGTTCTGCCTTTGACCTGGGAACCTTACTCCCCACGCCCCAGTGAACCCCCAGAACCACCCTCTTCCCTCACCCAGCCCTCTCCCCACCTAGGGGAGTCCTCACCCCATGCTCTAGCCACCCAGCTCCATCTACCCTCCTGCCAGGGACGTGGCTCGGGGCTATGAGAATGTGCCCATTCCCTGTGTCAACGGTGTGGACGGGGAGCCCTGCCCCGAGGATTACAAGTACATCTCGGAGAACTGTGAGACATCCACCATGAACATCGACCGCAACATCACCCACCTACAGGTGAGTGCAGGGCCCTCCTCCCAAAGGGACACCCAGAGCCACCAAGTACAGCTGGGCACACTGTGGGCCAACGAGGGCACCTGGCCAAGGTGGTGGGGCTGAAAGGGAGCTCCGGTGTGGGCTTGCATCCACCTAGGGAGGGGATCCTTTTTCTAGGACACGTGAAGGTATCACATGGGCTCACAGTGGCCCTAGAGACACCCCCATCAGCAACATCTTGATTCCCCCTCATCCCGGGACCATCACCATCACTGTCCTACAAGGTGGACCCTAGAGAAAGGACAGCAGTTTTGGGGCAGGGAGCACTGGAAGGGGCCGAGGCCGATTCTGGGGGGTGAGCTGACCCTACCTCCCGCCCCAGCACTGCACATGCGTGGATGACTGCTCCAGTTCCAACTGCCTGTGTGGCCAGCTCAGCATTCGCTGCTGGTATGACAAGGTACGTGCCCTCGCCCTGGCCGCACACACAGTCATCCACTCCTTTGGGGGAGCTGGCCTCTAACACCAACTCCCTGGGACCTTGTCCCTCACCTTCTACCCTGTGGGGGAAGCAGCAAAGACGGCAGGGCAAGACCTGGGATTCCTAGGCTGTTGCCAGGACAGAGAGGGGACTGGCCCAGGTATATGCAAACCCAGGGCGATGGTTGCCTGTTTCCTGTTGGATAAACTAAGAGCATATGTGGCCTCCCCCAGCCTGTCCTCCGTGTGTCTGGGTTGGGGTCAGCAGTGGATTTTTCTGTGAAGTCTTGGGAGTCCTGGGCAGCTGAGGTGGACACCACACAGAAACCACTGTCCTCCCCTCCCTCAACCCCAGGACGGGCGGCTGCTCCAGGAATTTAACAAGATCGAGCCCCCGCTGATTTTTGAGTGTAACCAGGCGTGCTCCTGCTGGAGAAACTGCAAGAACCGGGTAGTGCAGAGTGGCATCAAGTGAGGCCCAGCCCCTCAGCTCCCCTCACTCCCCTTTCTCCCTTCTCTCCCTCGGGGCGCTTCCAGGTCACGCCACTGAATATCACCCTCTCTCCCACCCCCAGGGTGCGACTGCAGCTCTACCGAACAGCCAAGATGGGCTGGGGGGTCCGAGCCCTGCAGACCATTCCCCAGGGGACTTTCATTTGCGAGTGAGTGGTGGGGAGGGGGTACTTTGGCTCCTGGGGGCATGGGGCTGGATGCAGGGCCACGGCTGACTCCCAGGCCTCCCTCTCTGCCCTCCTCCCTGATGGGTCCCAGCTCTTCATGCTGCCCCCACTCTGGCCAGCCTCCTCTGACCCCCATCCCCAAGCCTCCGCTCTGGCCAGACCACAGTGCCTGCATCTTTCCCTCCCATTCGGTGTATTTCCGAGCCTCACACTCGCTCTCCCCTGCCCTTCCCAACTGCGGAAAGCCCCGGTTTTACAGACAGACAGAGCTGGGTGTCCTTGGCCAAGTTCACAACCTCTCTGAGCCTCATTTTTCTTGTCTGCAAAATGGAGGTGATAACAGCTACCTTTCTGTCCACCTCATCAGGGGCCTCAGGCCTCTCCATCCATCAATTCTTTCTCTTCCCAGTATCCGTTACCTCTTCCTGTTCCCTGGCTTTTACTCCATAGCCTTCAAATGTAATCTAGGTCTCCTTTGGCCTTTAAAAAAAAAGAAGAAGAAAAAAAAAGAAAAAGAGTCATCCAGCCCCAATTGCCTATTTAAGAGACCATTCATTTTTCTTCCATCATGTCATCTCTCAATTTGAGACAAGCGACCCCTTCCTCCTGGGCCTCAGTTTCCCCATCATCCACTCCGCTCATCCCTGTCCAAATCTGCCTTTACCCTCACCCCTCTGCTGATGCTGCCTCTCAGCAGTCCCACTCCCTGACCCGTGTGTCTCAGTCCTCATTCTCTTGGCATCTGCCACCCGCCTCAGCTCTGGCTCCCATGACACTGTCCTCACCTGCGACCCATCCGTTCTTCCTCTTCACCAGCTCCTCTCCCTCTACTTTCCAAACGTGGGTGTGCTCACCCCCAGTTCTTCGTAGCTCCTGTGGCTCCGTCCCCTCCCTGCTGTCCTCACCCATTTCCTGTCCTCAGCCCAGCATTGCACCCACCTGCTGGGTGATCCCTAGTCCACAAACCCCCGTGTCTACGCCTGAACAGATTTCCCCACCCAGGCCAACTGCCCACAGATACTGATCCGTTCACCCCAGAGGCTGGGCGCCGCCGTGCTCACCCGAGTCATCCTCTGGCGCGGCTCGAGCCCCTCCCTCTAACTTCCCCACCACTGCTTCTCCAGCTCATCCCTGGCCCCACTCTGTCGGTCCTCCCTGTTGATCTAGTTGTCTGGTGGGACCCCAGCTGGCGGGAGTGTGTCCTGTGTGTACCCTCACGTGCCTATGTCCCCAGGTTCCTCCTCCTGTACCCCCCTTCTGGGTGGGGGCCACCCACCCCCTCCCTCCCAGATGATGTCCGCTGTCCTTGGGGGCCCACTGTGCCTTGGGTCACCCACCCCAGCCCCAGCTGTGCTGATCTGTGAGATTCACAGACAGCTGACAAACAGTGGAAGAGGAATCCTGGGGCTGTGAGGAGAGACACGGCCTGGAGCCTGCTCCCGGTAACGCCTGCTCACCTCCAGAACCACCACTCCCTGCCCAACAGGTATGTCGGTGAGCTGATCTCTGATGCTGAGGCTGACGTGAGAGAGGATGATTCTTATCTCTTCGACTTAGACAACAAGGTGGGCAGGAGACCCCTCTGCCGCCCTCCTCTCAGTCAGCAGATGGAAACCTGAGGAGGAGGGGCTGGGTGGTCAGGGGGGTGGGGAGGTTGGCCCAGCCAGCAGGGTGGTGATAGATGTGATGAATGACGCCCTCCCATCAGGATGGAGAGGTGTACTGCATCGATGCCCGTTACTACGGCAACATCAGCCGCTTCATCAACCACTTGTGTGACCCCAACATCATCCCCGTCCGGGTCTTCATGCTGCACCAAGACCTGCGATTTCCACGCATTGCCTTCTTCAGCTCCCGAGACATCCGGGCCGGGGAGGAACTGGGGTGAGGCATCCTGCGGCTCGGCCAGGGTGTGGGAGATGCAGCAAGCCCAGGACCAGAAGCGGGCGGCTGGCGAGTGCCTGGTTTCCAGGCATGGATTAGAGCAGAGCTTGTCCGATGTCACTGTAAACAGAGTCCTGAGCCTCACAGATTCTGAGTCAGTAGGTTTGGGATGGGGCCTGAAGAATCTTCACTTCTAACAAGCTACCAGGCAGTGCTGGTGCCGCAGGTGCATTAGAACAGAGGAGGGCTTGGAGCCCCTCCAAAGATGGGGGTGGGTGCTTTGGAGTGGGTCTGGGTCCCACAGACCTCTTGTGCTTCTCTGACAGGTTTGACTATGGTGACCGCTTCTGGGACATCAAAAGCAAATATTTCACCTGCCAGTGTGGCTCTGAGAAGTGCAAGCACTCGGCTGAGGCCATTGCCCTGGAGCAGAGCCGCCTGGCCCGCCTGGATCCCCACCCCGAGCTGCTGCCTGAGCTCGGCTCCCTGCCCCCCGTCAACCCCTGAGAGAGGACCACGACCCCCACCCCAAGCCCTGGACAGCCAGCTCCGCCACTTGCTGCCCACACCTGGGGGTGCTACCGTCTCCTCTCCCCCTACCCCTTCGCACATTCCTCAGTTAGATCCCAGCCAGGCCCTGGAGGTCTGACAGCCCCTCTCTCCCAGAGCTGGTTCCTCCCTGGGAGGGTGACTTCAGGGCTGGCCACACCCCTGTTCCCCACCCTCAGCTGAAGTCTAATGAATTGAAGTTGGGCCTCTGTGCTAATCGGTTTCCTTTGTTCTCAATAAATGTTGGGTTTATAATAAACTGGGTGATTGTTGGCAGACAAGCACACACAGCCAGAGGGAATGTGGGTCCAAGGGGCAGAAAGTGAATGAGAAGCAGGCTGGACAGGTGTGGCTGGTGTGGATTACCCTCCAGGGGATGGGGAGGGTTGTGAGGGGATTCCTGTGGGGCAGGGTCTAGTCGAGGGCAAATCTCATCTCCACACTTAATCTTTGGCAGGAGGGTGTAGGCGTGGCTGTACTATGATTGCAGTAGTTTGCAAAATTCTGAAGGGTTTTCCTAGAGCGTGGGAGTCCTTCAGGCCATGGTCCGTGAGGCCCGAGCAAGCAGCCCTGACCTGACCCACGTACCAGGCTTGCCTTCCAGCTTCCAGCCCTCCAGCGCGGAGTCTAGAAGGAGGAACTAGAGTGTGTCGGGGACCACAGGCAGGGGTGGGGCTGTGACGTGAGGGCGGGAGGGCGGGGCTGGTGGCAGGTGAGCTGCCAGGTCTCCCAGGCTCCAATCACTCTGGAGACTGAGCCATGGTGGGAAAACAGGACCAGAATGAGGTCTACGGTGAGGCTGGGGGCGAGGCTGGGGTGGGGGCCCAGGACCCGGCGAGGGAGGGGAGGCCTGCTCGGGGGAACGGTGGCTGGGCCGGCACCAGGGAGAGGAGCTGAGGGGAGTCGTGGTCCCCGAGGGGAGGGCCCGGGAAACAGCTGATTGAAGGAGACAGAGTCAGGGTGCTCGGAGGAGGATGGGGTGCAGGGGTTGGGAGCCATTGCTGAGGAGCCTTTGGGGTGTGAAGCTGGGGTCTGCGTGAGGAGGGGCGCTGGAGTCCCTGGGACGAGGGGGTGATGCCACACCTGGACTCTGGGCCCCTCAGGACAGGGCCCTGGGAAGCAGAGCCTGAAGGAGGCAGGGTCAGGGTCCTGAGCAGAGGAAGGGGCTCAGGGGCTGGGAGGAGTGAGCTGGGCTCTGGGCTGCTGTCAGGAGGAACAGCTTGGGGTCCCTGAGAAGGAGGCGGACTTTCAGCCTGGACTCTGGGTCTCTGAGGGGAAAAGGCGCTGGGCATCTGCCTGCCGGGGTCTGTGAGGAGTGGTGGGGGAGTGGGTTCTGCTGGGGGTCCCTGAGAGGAGTAGGGGCTGCAGATCTTGGTGGAGAGAGAGGGCTGGGGACCAGTCCCCCGGGTTCTCTGCTAGGAGGGAGTCTATCTCAGAGTGGGTTAGGAAGAGGGGCAGCAGGCTTATGGGGCTCCTGTGAAGGGTAAGGCCTGAGGAGAAGGAGCGGGCAGCCTGTCTCCAGCATCTCTGTGAGGGGCAAAGGCTAGGGGGGGTGCCCCGAGGGGTCCTGAGGACAAGGGCAGGGGTCGGGGTGGAGGGGTCTACAGGGAGGGGGAGCTGGGACCAGCCTCTGGGATCACTTTGAGCATTGAGGGCTAGGGAAGGAAGGAAGCCCAGGGGAGGAACCTTCCAGAGGCGAGGCTTGGTCCGAAGGGAGTCAGGGGAGGGAGCAGTGGGGACACCCCACAGACTTCCTGGAACAACTTTGGGTCAATCATCGGCATCGCGTCTGAGAAACACGGAGGGACAAGAGTCCAGAGCACCTGGGAGAATGGACCGCACCCCTTCCCACTCTCTGGCTCAGCCCTCTGTCCTCCCTCCTCCGTGCCCACACGGGACCCTGGCTGCCTGGCCTCACCTCCTCCCTGTGTGTACTCAGGGAGGACCAGGAACAGGACGGGCCACAAGCTGCCCGGCTCAGGTGTCACCCTGACTGCTCTCCCAGAGACTGGCAGTAGCCTGGGGACTAAGCTCCCTTCCGGGTGGGGGTCTATAGCCCGCCCCCAAGTCCCTGCGGGAATTGATGACTTTGGCTGAAGGCCTTGAGGTGTTACCCGTAAATGACCCATAAAAAGCTGCCCTTTCCCCTCCCTCCAAGGCCGCCTGGTTGGAGTTCACAGTGATCAGTGAAGCTGCTGACCAAGCCTTGATCCTACCTTTCCTTTTCTCTACTTTCCCCTCCTGCCAGCCCTGCCCCTGTCTATCTCCCCCCAGACTCCTGAGGGCCAGGTAGGACCCTGGTGCAGGGCAGCTCCTGCTGTGGGGAAGGGTTTGGAGGGACTGGAAATGGGGGGAGAGACCCCTCTCAATGCCTCACTCTCCACACTCCTCTCCATGCCCTTCAGGGAAACCAGCCAAATATGACCCCTCCTTTCGAGGCCCCATCAAGAACAGGTGAGTTCTGACAACTGCGCTGCTGGGGGCGGGCGGGGGGCGGGCGGTGCGGATGGGGGCGGTGTCTGGGTTTTGCTTCGTATTTGCTGAAATATTCATTACAAACTTGTGAGGAAAAAACCTCCTGCCCCAGGAGAGTGGTGGCCCTGGGGAGACTGTTGTGTGTGGAGGGGGCACAAGGGGGCCTCCCGGCTGCTGGTGATGTTCTGTGTTTTGGCCTGGGAGCTGGCTACACAGGCATGTGTCCTCTGGGAAAATTCATCCAGCTGAGCACTTCTGAACTGTGCCCTTTCCTGTTTTAAACTTCAGAAGAAAGTTTACCCACCAGAAAAAGGTTTTCTTAAAGAGGATAAAATGAAAGCTACCTATGCCTACTTTCCAGCATCCCCCAACTCTCCAAAGCACGACTCCTCCAGACCATGCTACCCCCCCCACTCCCCAGCATCCCCTCTCCAAAGGTTTCCCCCATTTCTCTCCAAGGAGCTGCACAGATATCATCTGCTGTGTCCTCTTCTTCCTCTTCATTCTGGGTTACATCGCCGTGGGGCTTGTGGGTGAGTTTCTGGCAGTGCAGAGCTGGGCAGTGGCTGGGGGACATTGTCCCAAGGAGGGACCACACCCACAGCCTTTCCCTCTTAAGTCCCTGCCGCACTCCGGTGATTCATCTGTGTGTCTCTGTCTCCAGCCTGGGTGTATGGAGACCCCCAGCAAGTCCTCTACCCCAGGAACTCTACTGGGGCCTATTGCGGGATTGGGGAAAACAAGTGAGTATGAAGGCAAGAAGAGGGGGCAGGAGGGAGATGAGATGGGGGCTGGGTAGGGGACCACTCCACCTCAGCCTCCCTGAATCTCACCAGTCCAGGCCACGTAGAACAGCCTCCACTGCTGGCCAGTGGCTTCTGAGTCCCCCTAGAATTAGGAGGCAGCAAAGAGTCATGGTTAAATGCACGGGTTTTAGGGTTCAGAGATGGTCATTTGAATCCCCAACTGGGCTAAGTAAGTTCTGGTTTGTGACCTCCAGCAAGGTACTCAACATCTCTGAACTTTGATTTCTTCTTCTGAAACACAAGGATGATTCCAGAAGCAAGGCTATCAGTCCCAGCATGCAGGAAACGTTCAATAAATAATAAAACCACTAACATTTATATGGCATTCCAGGCAGGCAGTGTACTTTACACACACAAACTCATTTAAACCTTGTGAGGTAGGTACTATAATTTTACATGTGATGGAACTGAGGCAGTGAGTGGTTAGATGACTTATTTAAGGTCATAAAGCTGGCTCCAGAGTTCAAGCTCTTAACCATTTTGTTAGCAGTGGCGATGCTGAATTTCTCTGGGCAATCTTTCAGGTGTCTCCCATACCTCCCCAGCTCAGCTGAGCTTCCAGAGGCCAGGAACTGGGCCCATTGCACTCTTTTTTTTGTGGGTTTTTTTTGCGGTGCACGGGCCTCTCACTGTTGCGGCCTCTCCCGTTGCGGAGCACAGGCTCCAGACGCGCAGGCTCAGCGGCCATGGCTCACGGGCCCAGCCGCTCCGCGGGATGTGGGATCTTCCCGGACCGGGGCACGAACCCGTGTCCCCTGCATCGGCAGGCGGACTCTCAACCACTGCGCCACCAGGGAAGCCGCCCATTGCACTCTTGAGGCACAGCCCTGGCAGTCCCTCTCTTTCCCCGAGGCTTGAGCAAGCCCTGATGCATACGCTTCCTTCTCTCCTCCAGAGATAAACCATATCTCCTATACTTCAACGTCTTCAGCTGCGTCCTAACCACCAACATCATCGCGATCGCCCAGAATGGCCCGGCGTGCCCCACACCCCAGGTCAGAGTCTAGGACCTGCCTCTGTCCCCAGATCTCCCCCAGGGTCTGGATACCAGCCCCTCAGCACGCTCTCTGCCCCCAGGTGTGTGTGTCCTCCTGCCCAGAGGTCCCATGGACTGTGGAAACGGCCCAGCTCTCACAGTCGGTCGGGCAGGTCTTCTACGCGGCAAATAGGAATTTTTGTCTGCCAGGGGTGCCTGGGGACATGGTGAGCGCTGTTCCCAATGTCATTGCTAAGGAGGGTCCATAATGAGGAAGGGTGGGAGGGGGAGTTGGGTAGATGATCGTGGTGGTAGAAAGGGGACTCACTCCTTCATCTTGCTCTGTGTCTGTGTGTCTGTCTGTCCTCCCCCCACCCTCCAGCAAGTGCTCCAAAGCCTGAGACAGGAGCTCTGCCCCAGTTTCCTCCTCCCTTCCACTCCAGGTGAGAAGCCACATTCCTTCCTCAGACATCATCCAGTCCTAGATTTTTTTCCCTCAAACAAGGGAACCAGGCTCAGAGAGAGGCAAGTCACACAGCTTGTCTGTGACAAAATCAGAATGAGCACCAGGTCTTCGTTTTTTTTCTCTGCCTCATGACCATCCTACAGTCAGATCACCAGTGCTTATTATGTACCTGCTGTGTGCCAGGTATCGGGGACAGGTGAAGCGAAGATGAAAACTGCTCCCCTTTTGGACTACA